TTTGTCAAAATCAAGGCGAGAGCTGCAAATAACCCTGTGTTTGGTTGCGTGATAGACGACGCACGAGGCAGATCGGATAGTCAGAGACGTAAGCCTAATCCTAAAAGAGCTACATTGCCCGATGAGCGCGGTAACGCATTCAGTACTCAAGAGATCGATTTCAGAGAAAGACAGTTGAGTTCACCTGGTCACAAAGAAGCCCCATCTACGAGATATGCAGTCTGCCCGGTATGCAATGCAGCTCACCCCTTAGCGAAATGCAAGGTTTTTATAGAGAAGAATTTCGAAGAACGTCTACAAGTGATGAGGAAAGCTCAGTTATGCCATAATTGCTTCAAGTACGGCCACATTGCAGTGGGATGCTTAGCAAGGAGTACATGTGAAGTCCAAGGTTGTAAGAGACGACACCATACTTTACTTCACCCTCCGCCCTCACAGCAATCAGTTGAAAACAGAACCAGAGTCTCGGTTGAACAAGGAACCCAAGTAAGCAGTGGCACGCCGTTATCAAGTGGACAGACTAACAGTACCTCAACAGGAGGGGGAAGGTTTGCCTGAGGGTGGTCCCTGTGAAAGTCCGACGTCGCGATGCAGAAAAGGTAGTGGAAACGTACGCACTTCTAGACAGCGGTTCAGATATCTCCTTATGCGACAAGACGCTAGCGAGGGAGCTTGGAGTTCGAGTGCAAGAAAAAACATTCTTCCTGACAACTCAAGAAAGAGAAGACAGCCCAAGAGTTGGTCGTGAGATCAGCCTAACCGTAGAGTCACTTGATGGTACTGACAAGGTTGAAGTTAAAAGACTATGGACTGTTGATAGACTGAACGCCTCACGCCGAAGTATCCCATCAGAGCAAGATACAAGACAGTGGCCTCACCTTGAAGACATAAAGTTACAAAGTATTAGCGAGAAAGAAGTCCGATTAATCGTAGGCACTAACGCGCCAGAGGCCTTCTGGGTATTAGAAGAAAGGCGTGGTAATAGAGGAGAGCCATATGCCATTCGAACACCTCTTGGTTGGACACTCATGGGCCCGGTGAGACGCATCGATTGTCGAGAACGCCATCTGAATGTTAACTTTGTTCGCTTAGTGGAGTCCGCGAGAAAAGATTGTCTCATGCAGCAAGTCGAAAGGTTCTGGGCCATAGAGAATTACGGCTTAGCGGGTGACTCTAACGTGTGCATGTCAGTGGAAGACAAGAAAGCTCTTGCAATCATGGAACGATCTGTGAAACTTGATCAAGGTCATTATCAGGTGGCGCTTCCCTGGAGACAGTACCCACCATTCCTGCCTTATAATCGGCCCATGGCAGAACGAAGGCTTCAAGTCCTGAAGAGAAGGTTTCTACAAGATGAGAAACTGTTTGAAAGTTACAAGACCACCATGGAGGAGTACAATGCTAAGGGACACGCAAGAAAGGTACCGTGTAACGAGGTTCATGTAGACGACAAGCGGCCGCTGTGGTATTTACCTCACCACCCTGTGCTCAACAAGCCTGGAAAAACCAGAGTAGTCTTCGAATTTGCAGCTAAGTACGGAGGAACATCTCTTAACGATCAGCTTCTTACTGGACCGGACTTGACTAATTCTATAGTTGGCGTGTTGATGAGATTCCGGGAAGAACGAGTCGCGTTATTAGCTGACATCGAGTGCATGTTCCATCA